ACCTCTGTTGTGGTACTAGGAGTTAAACCAGGGCCCTGGGCATAGTTGGCAAGCACTTGGCCTCTTGATCCATGCCCTGCCCCCTAAGCTATCGTTCCTTGAAGGGTGATATTGTCCTGGACGATGGTCAGGGAACCACAGACCCACAGAGTGACACATGGGATAAAGGCCAAATGCATGACCAGAATCCCCGAGAGACGTCTCACTTTGCGATTACATCATGGAAGAAATCAGGGCATCCATCTGTATACCCCATGGAATCACATCAGATGCGGGCGGGGGTGGGGTGGTCCCCAATGGGACTGCTCATGTAGTACAGCTGAGAACTGGAGGTTGAGACAAAGGTAACCAGAATTTTATAGCGTAAGAACTCTATAATTTCGTCAGATGCTGGTGGTCATGTTAGCTACTCAGGAGGCTGAGCTCTGAGGATTGCTGTTCAAAGCCAGCACGGGCCGGAAAGTCTGTGAGAATCTTTGTTTGCAATTAACCACCAAAGGCTGGAAGTGGTGCTATGGCTCAATTGGTAGAGGGCTAGCCTTGAGCAAAAGATGCTCAGGGACAGTCCAGGCCCTGAGTTCAAGCTTCAGGTCCCACACCCAAAACAAGAAGCCTATGATTTTGAGGATAGGTAATCTATAGTTTTACAGATTTATTCGGCTATAGATTAGATGGATACCCTGCAGTACCACAGATGGAAAATCCAGGGTTCTCGGAGCTGAAATGAAATACCACCAAGCTATGAAGCCAAGTGTACCCTCCGAGAACTCGTGTAGATGTTAGCCTCGGATGGTCACCCTCCTTCCTTGCCAGCATAGGTTTTTTTCTAATTCAAGTATTAACATGTGTTCAGAGAAATCCCCTACTTTCCGCCCGCCCCACCCGCATGTCCACTCAACACTAGGAGATGCATCATCATCTTTGTCTCCTTGATGTTTTCTACACCTTTCTTTGCACGACAAAGGGTTCTATAAGATTGTCCTTGGGCCTCACGCCTTGTAACCCGTTAGCACACCTCCTCTCGAGGGTAAGAATTCCCTTTCTGTGACCCGAGGACAGGTGAGGGAGAGAGGCCAGGGAAAAGATGGGACTTCTTCGCTTGTTTGTTTTGGCACATGCCCAGCAGAGATGAATATGTACGTGCCTCCTACTCAACAAAACTGCGCCTGTGAGCAGGGGAGGCTCACCCTCTTAGGGCAGGGGCAGGGAGGGGGTCGCATACAGAGTCTTCCCTGAACTCCCCAGGGGCCTGGCGAAGGTGATGGCAGATCCAGGGCCAACTCCTCCTTCCCCTCCCCCTCTCCTGCTAATACCCATGACGTTCAGGTTCTCAGCTCTGGAAACAACCTGGACTCCAGCCCCATGCTCCCCAGACCCACTTCTTTTCTACTGCCCGTGAAAACTAGATGCTCGAGAGCCACACATGCTCCTCTTCCTCAGAGCTTAGAGAAGAGGTACAGTGACACCCCAGTATCTTTGGGATGGGCTGGGGGACATTTATTCTCTGAACGGGATTCACTTTCTTGTGCAGGAAGGAAATAGAACACCCAATGGGGAGAAGCCTGAATGGCGGGGTGAGGACTTCTCGTACTGTGTTCTTTTTCTGGCCCGTTGATGAGGTGTGGAGCCTAGAGGCTCAGAGGGTGGCTTTTCAAGCCAAGAGAAAGGAAGGGGGAAGAGACAAAGCTGGATCACTGCTGGAACACAGAAGGCCTTTCCCCAAGCAAAGACCTGGCAGCTTGACCTTAAAAAGTCCATGATGCCTAACGGGGGCTGAAAGAAATGTACAGCATCAGCCGAGGGACCCCGGGTCTGAACTCGGATGGCTCACCATTATCAAACCAGCATCGCTTTCGAGCGTTAGTCCATCTTCAACTGACAATTAGTAACGGCGAAGAGATCTGACACGATGGTTAGATGACATGGGCAATAATTTAGCCAAGACAAATGGCATTCTTCTTGGTCAGTCTTCACAAATACCCCCTAGGACGGGGACATCACCATCACCCCTACTTTGCAGACCAGGAAACCAAAGTAACAGAGCCATGAGTAACTTTCCTGAACTCACTACGTGAGAGGCAGGCACCAGTGGGTCACACCTGAAATCCTATCTACTCAGGAGACAGAGCACCGGAGGATCACCGCGGGAGGCCAATCCAGATAGTAAAGTTGACTAGACTCCATCTCCAACGTCAACTGGCAAAAAAGCAGGGCTAAGGGTATGGCTCGAGTGGTAGTAGACAGTGTAGCAAGCACGAGGTTCTGAGCTCCAGCCTCCATGTTACCTGGGTAGTGGTTGCTTTACCTGTATCACCTGGGTTCATCTTCGCGACGAATGCGTTATTACCTCCACTGACACTGGCTGAGTGGCACTGCCAGTTGCCAAACTCTCGTGGTGAAACACCACCAATTACTCATCACTGAACTAGGTTTCCTTTCTGCTGCAAACCATCTGTGCTCGGGCAGCTATTTATGAGGTACTGGGGACAGGGAGAGACCGGGCATAAAGAACTCTAGTTTGGCAGAGCAGAATGGGCAGAGACAGACTCAGACAGACCAGGCACCCTAGCCTGGCAGCCTTAGATACTGAATCACCTTGAGTGTCAAACCTCCAAGGTGGCACATGGCTGTCCTGGTATCAGGACACCCCACATCCACTCACACACACACACACACACACACACACACACACACACACACACACACATTCTCAAACAACAGTTGAGTCTGCCCTTTGGGGGCCGATTCAAAGCATCTTCCTAGCAAACATGGCGGGCAAAAGTGCCCAAAGATGAGCCCTTCAAGACCCCATTTCCTCACCCCCACCCCCACCCAGGCTGTGACCTGGGAGCTGGCAGGAGCTAGCGCCCTACTGCGGTTCTCTTAATGAGGAGGCCGGGCACCGCGGTGCCAGAGAGATCAGCAGAGCATAAAATCATTACTGACATTGCCAATGTTGGCTAACGGAGATCCAGATTTCAGTTGTACCACAAAGCAAATTAGACCAGCCGGGGGTGATTTGGTGTGCTATTTGGATTTTTGCTTGTCTTTTTTATATTTAAAAAAAAAATCTGTTTATCAGTCAACCTCAAATACATTTAATAGACTGCACACACACACACACACACACACACACACACACACACACATTAAAATTCCACTGGTTAAAAAAAACAACAACAGAGTGATATTCTTGTTTTTCAAATTATTGCTTCTGTTTGTATACTCCATCAATCTTGTTTTCTAATAGTCAGGTCTGGCGCAGTTCTAATCATTTTAAATGGCACTGTAGTTAAGCATGAATGCATAAAACAACTTGAAAACTCCCAGTGACAATCCTTTATGCAAATGCTTTCTTGATTTTTATATTCCTGTCTTACATTAGAGTAGCTCTACTTCGGGGCTAGCTGTATCTGGCCCACTGCCTGCTTTTGTAAATAAAGTTTTATTGGAACACAAGCACATCCGCTTGTTTACATAGTGTCTAAGAATGCTTTTATGCTACAGCCGCAGACTGGAGTAGTTGTGACAGAGGCCATCTGGGCCTGCAAAACCTGAAGTATTTACTACTCAGGACTTTACGGAAATGTTTGACAACTCCTGCTCTCAAGCCAGTCTTGAGAACCAGACTCACGCGAGGCATTTCCTAGCGCTTTTCCCCACAGGAATTACATAATTCACTGTACTCAAGGGCTTCTTGTCCTGTGATGTGTGTGCACGGGCAGAGACTAGCACAGTGCAGACCAGAAATATAATTTGCTGGATAAGCAAGCTGAGTTGTTGCGTAGATTTGGAGCTCTGGGGGCCGTAAGTGTCCTCGGTCTTGAATGAGAACCTAACTACACCAAAGCCTGGACAACCCCATGCTCACTGAGTCTGGTTCAGAGCACGTGTGGCTACGTGATGCTGAACCTCTTCTCCACCATGCCACGCATGCCCATCCTTCTCTGTGATGTCACAGAATCCTCTCTCGCCCAAGCCCTGATTGTCCTAAGCTCGGCTCACCCGATGATCTCCTAATTGACTGGCAAAGCTGGTCTCATTCCTGGGGAGCCCATCTGCGCTGCACAGCCAGGGCTCCAACACCCGCAGGAGCCCCGCTGGTAGACTCAAGCCCGGTACTCATCCGTAAGGCACACGGGCCCTCCGCCACCAGCACCGAGCCACAGGAGCAGCTGCCACTGCTTTCCAGAAGGACGCAGGAACTCAGACTGAATGGCAGAGACCTCTGATCTGCTGCTCTCCAAACGCACTAGGCATTCGGACAGGGAAGGCAGTTGGATGCACGGAGAGGAGTCAGCCTCACTAGAAAGCCATAAGACTTAGGGGACAAACTAAGAGCTCAAGAGTCAGACAGACTTTGGCAGGGAACCAAGCTCCCATCCATGCATGAGAGCCAATTCACTGATGGCTCTGACACAAGGATTCTTCATGGTAAAATGAGTATAAAATGATCATTTTCACATGAACACTTTGGTGTAAAGTACCTAGAAATAATATACTTTACATAAATATACTTTACATATCATTATATATTTTATATATAAAGTATAAAGTATATATACTTTTATATACTTTATGTATACATAAAGTATGTATACATACTGCACCAGTATATATACATATACATAAAGTATATAAAAGTATATATACTTTATATATCATTATATATGCTTCATATATACTTTGCATATATATCATTATATATTTTTATACATAAAGTATAAAGTATATATATACTCTGTATATACACTTTATATATATAAAAGCATTCTTTATCATTATATATGCTTTGTATATACTTTATGTATATACACTATATATCATTATAACATAGAATTGTATATATTAATATAGTACATATAAAATATAAGAAATATTATATATCATTGTGTATATGTGTGTATGTATATATATATATATATATATATATATATCATTGTTCTCATTTCATATTTTTAATACCCCAAGGAGAATGATCTTGGGAAATTTCCACTTACCAAGCATTCCTTTCTTGGAACTAGACAGGCACATGTCCTTCTCGGCACTGGGCAGGGCAAAACTCACCACAAACACCTCCACCCCATCGGCCATCAGGGCTAAGCCCAAGACAAAAAAGAGGGTCCACTGGAAACGCCCGTGACCGCACTCCTCGATGATGGTCTCGTACTGGTGGGCCAGCTGCTCCTCGTCTTCCATCCGCTCAGCCATCAGGTCTGTCTGAAAGCCATCTGCTCTGGAGGGCGCCATCTTGGCCTGCTTGCCCTTGAAGTCATCCGGGTGGGGGATGCCCTGGTACTCGCCCTCATAGATCTCATCCTCCTCGTCATGGCCTTCGGTGGCATCGCTCTGCGCATCTTCTTCCTGGTTGGACTCGTTGCCCCCTCGGTAATAGCCATCGCCGGGGGCATAGCCCTCATAGTTATCCTGGTACTTGTAGTCATCCATGCCTTGGTTCCACGGCTGCCGGGCTGCCTCTCGAGCTATATCTCTGGCCCCGTGGTAGAGGTTTGGGTTGTTCCGGTAACCATCATCCATTCTAGGGTTGATGTGAGGAGTGGGTCATGTGACTTCTTGGGTGGAGAAAGCCACACCTGTCTTCTCCCTTTGTTTCTCAGATCCACCACTTTGTGCCAAGATGGCGTCCTTGTGCACTGGCTGTCTCTTAGAAGGTCTTTGGAAAGTTTTGGACTCTGGCCTGGGTCTCCTTCAATGACCCAGAAGTGTTGTTTGAGGAGAAGTGCAGATTAAAAATGGGTCCAGCTGCTTTCTTTGACAAGGTACAAGCAGCACTTGGCAGCTTGCTTGCTGGACAGATCTGTTCTGCTACTGAAGGTTATGCCCTGAAAGGAGAAACAGAGAGAGAAAGAGAGAGAGAGAGAGAGAGAGTTTCAAAAGGTTGAAATTCTGACAAGATATTCTCAGAATTATACCGGTATATTTAGTTATGCCCATGCATCATGTACAGGGTAGAGATCATCTTGATTAGACTTTAGAATTCATATCCATTGAGAGCCTTGAACCTGGGTCTGTTTAAACTTTAAGCTCTGTTTAACCCACAAAAGAAGACATAGGTAGAGGCCCAGATGAAATGTGAAGCAGACAAAGAATTTTCAGTACACAAAGACAACCTTTGTGTTCATGGATTTCCTTTTAGAATGGATCAAACCTTTACCAACCAGGAAGGTTTATTACTTCTGTTATGTAAATGCCAGCCTTTCGAACTTCAGCATGCTTTGGATCTTGAAACCCAGAGCACAGCCATATCCAGGATGGCTGTTTCCCTGGGGCCCAGGTTGCTTTTGTGACTCAGCTTCGCAGTTCAAGAGCCATCTGACCTTGTTCTGGGCCTATGTGAGCAGGAACAGAGCGCAATCACTCAGATTTGAAACAGGATTCTGCAGCCTCATCCGTGGGGGGACGTGCACCTGTCTTTCTGTGCTCCAGTTTTCTCGTCTGTTAGGTGGAGATAACAATAGCACTTAACTCAATGCGGTTACACATGGGCCAACCTGCCTGAAAACATCATTTAAACCTTGATGTGACTGTTGATTTTTTTTTGTCCCCTGGGGATCCAATTCTGGAAAGCAGGGCCCAAGACTGTCTAGAGTCAAAGCCTTATCCTATATCCCTGCTCTCATCTTTGGGTCCCAACTCTTGTTTGTTTGTCTTGCCTAGTCCTGGGGCTTGAACTCAGGACCTGGGTGCTCTCCCTGAGGCTCAAGGTTAGCACTCTACTACTTGAGACACAGCGCCACTTCCAGCTTTTGCTGAGTAGTTTATTGGAGATAAAAAGTCTCATGGACTTTCCTGCCTGGGCTGGCTTTGAACCACGATCCTCACATCTCAGCCTTCTGAGTAATTAGGATGACAGGTGTGAGCCACTGGCACCCAGTGGAGTCCTAACCCTTGGGTCCAACACTCAACTACCCTCTTCACATTGTGAGTTTCACAGCATTTGGAGCTCTCACTTAACGTGGTTCTGGGTGTACGACTGACACGATCAAACTGACTATAGTTAGGATTCACTACAAGGTCCACTTCCCAAATCCTCAACCCACACTTCCCAAAGGCTCTTCAGAGGGGCTGTAACATTAGATCGCCCAAGGGCTCTAAAAATACAGATGCCCAGAAGGGCTGTTGGGAGCTCAGAAATCTGCATTTTCACACAGCTCCCCCTCTGGCCCCAAAGCCCCTCAGGGGTAGAGGCCAGGCCCCCATTCACCTGCTATTCCACTCCACGCCCAGGTACCTGAACGGTGACCAAGAGGGAAAGCAAATCATGGCTGCCAGACACCCCCTCTGCCCCCGCCAACAAGCTCATAACCCATCAGTCCTAGAAGTCCTATGTCACACCCAAAACACCACCCCTCCCACCCCCAGTGCACATGGTGGACCAGGAGTTGAACCATCCTCATGGCTGCAGGATTCCTCTCCACAGCCCATTCCCTGGCTTCTGCCCCACACCTGCACCCCGGCTCTCCCTGACTTCAAGCTTGGATAGAATCCAGCTCTGGGAGTCATCTGATCTCAAGAGTAAAATGCATTTCCTTCTGGAAGGATGCCAGAGTGGGCCAGAAACCACTCAGGGTATGTGGAGAAAGAGTCTTCATTATACATGCAAATCCCGGATAGGTACGCACCGGTGGCTCACGCCTGTCATCCTAGCTACTCAGGAGACTGAGATCTGAGGATCTTAGCCCCAAGTCAGCACAGGTGTGAAAGTCTGGAGACTCTTATCTCCAAGTAACAAGGCAATGGGCTGTAAGTGCAGCTGTGGCTAGAGCAGCAGCCTTGAGCAAAACAAAAAACAAAACAAAAACACTAAGTGAGAACTCAAGGCCCTGAGTTCAAGTCCCAGTACTACACACACACAAAAGGAAAATTTTATAATGCAGATGTAAGTCCCTTCTTCCCTCCAAGGCACTGAGCCTTCAGTGTGACTGAGGCCTGGGAATCTGCATTTTTCTACCAATGCCACAGAGAATTCAGGAGACTGTACTTTGAGGACCTGCTGTTGGAACTGGCAAGAACTATTTACTGAGAATAAGTCTCATTTTATCCTCTCATAATTTCCACCATCTCCAGTAAATAAATTCATATTAGACCTTGCTGGCCTGAACCAGGTCAGATCCATATTCTAAATCTGTTTTTATTATGTGCACTGAGAGACTACCAAAGGAATATAAACGACAGGCCAGGAGTGTTTGCACAGGGATATGAAAATGGAGACAGAATGCCAGCTGCCTGAGGTCTGTGGGGGCCGTATCGACTCCGGGGTGGGGGGAGCCTGCAAAAATGTCATGAGCCAGAAACAATAGATTTGCAATTCCAAAAAAGCACACAAGGGAAATACCACTCTGAGCAAAGAGTCTGGGATTTGCTCTGAAAGCAGATCTTTGTCAAAACTAATCCCACTTGCCTGGTCTAGTCAGATGGTCCCCTGAACAAAGTCAGCCGGCGTCTGACACTGCTCTGAAGAGCAAAGCCACCAGGGTGACCTCTCCAAGGGAGCCAACCGCTTCCGTGCCATCAGAAGCAATCAGCCATGATGCGCGTCAGGGTCGAAGAAGAAAATTCTTCCATTCGCTCTGCTTGGAACTGGATACCCTCAGCAACCCTGAAGCCGTGTGGCAGGAACGGGTAGGCGTGGAGGCATACGGGGGTTGGAGTGGGAGAAAATGATCTTTGAGAACCTCACGGCAATGCGATTGACATGAGCAAGGAAGAGGGTGAGCGAGTGAACAAAATCAGATGGGTGCTAAAGAGATATGCATATAGTCCAGACAAGGTAGGAGTCACTAAGAGCATTTTGTTGTTGTTATTGGTCATGGGGCCTGAACTCTGGGTCTGGGCGCGGTCCCTCAGCTCTTCAGCTCAAGGCGAGCGCTCTACCACTTGAGCCACAGCACCACTTCTGGCTTTTTTTTTTTTGCTTATGTGGTGCTGAGGAATCGAACTCAGGGCCTCATGCATGCGAGGCAAGCGCTCTACCACTGAGCCACCTTCCCAGCCCCACTAAGAGCATTTAAGACACACCGCCCCAAAATACGGCACCTCAATCATTAAACAACAGCAGCAACAGGCAAGTTCTCACCGATTTGCACTTTGTTCTGCCTCCCCTAAAACAAGCCAGGAGAGAATTCTCTGGCCACCCTCTAAAGTAGGTCATAAAATCTCCCCACGGAGCCAACTCGATGCCCAAAGAGACGCAAGGGCACAGGGAAGTGTGTGAACAAATGCTCCCCTCGGTTCAGGGTCAGAAATGCCGAGGTGGCGGGGGTGGGAGGGGGAGAATAGGGGAAAGACTGCACCCCTAGATTAGAGGACCAGACCTGTAGTTCAACCCTGCCGACAAGTCTCAGTGGGACCTAGGTCAGCCACTGGCCGTCCAAGGCGCCAACCTCCCAAAGAAGGACCATGTCCAAAGCCGTATGCAGTCGTGTGACTCAACAGCTTCCTGAGTATCTGTGAAAATGGCTTGAGCCCCCTGAGAAATACATGATAACACTTTATATATAAGAACACACGTGGGCTGGGAAGGTGGCTCAGTGGTAGAGCGCTTGCCTTGCATGCCTGAGGCCCTGGGTTCGATTCCTCAGCACCACATAAGCAAAAATAAAAAAAAAGCTGGAAGTGGCGTTGTGGTTCAAGTGGTAGCTCTAGCCTTGAGCTGAAGAGCTGAGGGACAGCGCCCAGGCTCAGAGTTCAGGCCCCACGACCAGACCCAAAATAAATAAATAAATAAAAATTAAAAAAAAAAAGAACACACGTATTCTTAGTTTCATGTCTACAATTGTGTCTCTTCGGGATTCGGAGCAGCATTTAGAAATGAAGTAACCTCTTGTAGGCAATTTGATAGCTCTTGATTCTTAAACATTTAGAATTATTCTCCAAGGTCCCCTGGCATTGTATTTCTGTATTATATTATGTGGTAAACACTGGTGTTTCTTTGTTTATGTCTTCCCCTCCCTCCCTCCACCACCACCACCTATAAGGAGACCCATAAGCAGAGTTAAGATAGATAAGCACTGAGTTTTACTTATTGTTTGGATCTCCTGAACTGAATGCTGCCTCAAACAAAGAAGGTACTTGAAAACGTTTGTCCAATGAAGAAGGTTAATAGCCATTCTATCAAATCTAACCCAGAAGCCCACGCTTGCTATTCACAGACAAGCAAGTTTAATATGGTACTTTCATTTGTTTAAAAATAATAAATAAAAGCCAGGCACCGGTGGTTCAATGCCTATTATCCTAGCTACTCAGGAGGCTGAGATCTGAGGATCCTGGTTCAAAGCCAGCTTGGGGCAAGAAAGTCCATGAGACCCTTATCTCCAAAAAACTACTCAGAAAAAGCCAGAAGCGGTGCTGTGTCTAAAGTGGCAGAGCGTTAACCTTCAGCACAAAGGGGCTCAAGGACAGTACCCAGGCCCAGAGTTCAAGCCCCAGGACTGGCAACTGAGTATATAAGGAAATAAATAAGGAAATAAATAAATATAAAACAAGGAGGTCATGTCAGCTGACCTCTAAACTAAGTCTCACACACACACACACACACACACACACACACACAGCAAATTTACTCTCTGCCTTCTGATGCCAAC